AGAATTCCAATTCTTGATAAATAATAAAAAAATGTACAAATTATAAAAATTTGCATGTACCAAGTGTACAGAGCCGTTTCAATAATATTAGAGTGGACTCTCTACCCATGTACACATTCGCATTCGCAAACATTCGTGTCATTTGATGCGAATGTCGAATGCGAATGAGTAAAATGATGCGAATCATTCACATAACGAATGCGAATGCAAATATTCGCAACATCCCTTGTACATATTTACATGCATATTTCTCGCAAGGGACCTTTGCATTAATAAAACAAAGCAGAACAGCCACTCTCGATGTTGATTCGTTGATATCTCGCCACCGCACATAGAAGTATTTATGCAGAAAAACCGGTCAAAAGACTGATTTACCAATTGATTCCCTTTGTCCCCATATGTCAACCTGAAAACAGTCAATGTTGTGGTAGTTTTTCTTTTCTCCACGCTTTTAGTCGTTCTACTTGTTTCTTCGGTAATTGTGTTTTAGTGAAGACCTATTTCAAGAAAAAACCTTTTGAACATGGAAGAAGGCCATTTTTATCATTTAAGACTAAATTTAAGTAAATTGCTTTCAATATAGCCTTCGTTTGGAAAATTTAGAATCGGTCTGTTTTGCTATTTTTGTTGAATAATATTTTTAAATATTGGTATTTTTGTTTACTTGTCAAAGTTTCTCAAAGTTTGGTTCCTTGAAATATACGTTACTACAGTAATCTTGGAGCAATTAAAGCAAAAATAATTCGCTCGAATTTGCTCCATTTTTGATTTTCGAAGGACGAACCACGATGAGTCGTAAGGAGGGTTGCATTGTTAACAGGTGTAAGTCTCAAATTTAATTTGGTAAAAATTACGTAACGATTGAATACTATTTGTCAAAGATCTATGAAAAACCCCGATCCATCGCCAGTTTTTTCCTACTTTTTCCTACTTTTTTTGTAAAAATAACTTAAAGATATGATAACTGAATATAACTAAATTTTTCACGACAATGATGCTAAGATAAGTGTAGTTAGCAATTTTTATCCTATAAATCCCTAATTATGATTAGAAAAACACAAAATAATTTTGACCGGTTTAACTATGCAAATACTACTCTGCGCACCGACTAAACGATAGAGCGTAAGAATACGTGCGAGGTTAGCATGAAAAGTTGTTCTATGAAGTGCCGACCATTGTACTGATGGCACATGCCGGTATACTCTTTTCTGACACCACAGATCGTTTGGGCAACCAAGAGTTGCTTGCTGGCTCTCACACGCGAGTTGGAGCGTGTGCTAGAGTTGTATGGGGGGTGTGAGACTTGGAAGGTTTGCTGTTGCACACGGGAGCTTCTTAGAGCCGTGCAGGCTCGTATAGTGCTGGTTCGGACCCGCGCGTTGCGCAAGCTGGCGGCCGTGGGGGTGGGTGGTGCCGTTTGGCTTGAACAACTGGGGCCACAAAGGCTGTGGTCCACTCCCTCCCGTCCGTTGTAAAAGTTTCACCTAATCGAAGTAGAGTTCGGATGGGGTCGTCTCTGGCAAACGCAGCAGAAGTATGTTGCTAGTCCAGGGTTGGACTCAATGTCCGCCCGGAGAAGAAGGATGCGTAGCAACCCGGCTGCAAGGTATTGCTCCATGGACGAAAAACGATTGATGAGGTTCGTCGATCTAAACGGGGTTAGGTCGCCGAAACAATAGCCCGAGTCATTCTGGATGTCGTGGGAATGCTCCGCCGCTACTGAGAGTCACCGGCTGTGCCATTAGTCACTCACTGCTTACCGCTTCTGATTCGTCCTCTCCGTAGCACCGGACGTCACCATCAATATCTCTATCTCTCTCCTTGGACGTAAGGTTGCCGGCACTCTAGTTATAGCGGTGTGTGTGTGTGTGTGTGTGTGTGTGTGTGTGTGTGTGTGTTCGAATTAAAAACACGAGGATACTGTGTTTTATTTGGTGGGGTTTATTGGGACCTTCTTTCGACCCAGGATAGGCTAAGCTCACCTCAGCCTTTGACAAAACCCTCAAGGCAAAAACCTCTGGGCATACAGCCCCAGACGTGGACGAGACCGAACGTCGTCTGCTTCGGGAGACTCGGACCACAATAGCCCAACTGCGCTCTGGTTACTGCAGCAGGTTGAACTCATACCTAAACATATCAGAGAGGATTACACCACAACTCCACCTCCGTCACATGCAACACATGCAATGGGTGGAGCCATCTCCGAGTTTGCTCAGACCTTACGACTCATAGGCAGTACATAGGCACAACAGAGTCCGCCTGAGCAACTCAACGCAAACACAGCCGCACCACAACACAATACAATACACAACACCACTGACACAACAGACCACACCACCGATTCAACTGCACCACCACCACCCACACGCCACCGCCAACAACTCCTAGTTCCGCCGACAATCTGCACGGTGTGCCAGTCCAGGATATTCCGTAATGTGAAATCAGTCAAGTGCAACACTTGCCTTGGCTGGTGTCACTTTAGGGCATGCTCACGACTGCGCACCACGCGAGATTGGACGAGGGACCCTGCTGTGCTGCTCGGTCGCAATCTCCAAATGCGACGCCGCCCACTATCACCACAGGGCAACAGCCTCAGCAGCAGCAAGCACAGCATGTGGCGGCCCGGCAACACACTTCTCTAACACCCCACATCCCAATAAGTCTCCCTAGGCACACGAAGATTTTACAATTTAACTGTAACGGACTTCAGAGCAAGATCGAGAAGATAACAGCCTTCATGGGTCGGCACGGAATATTAATAACTGCGCTCCAAGAGACGAAGCTGCAAGGCAATTCAACATTGTTGAATTGCGCCGGATACAATGAGCACCGTCGATATCTCGAGCGAGACAATGGGGGTGGCCTAGCGTTCATCACGCACTACACCGTGCAGTATCGTCCGACGAAGCGTGACGACAGAGTTGAAATAGACTTTGGTGACCACGCTTTGTCAGAACCGGAGCGATGTGCGAGCTATTTTAGCCGGCAGTTCATTTTGCATACTGCGGTGGATATAGCCAAACGCCAAGTGACCAGAAGGCTGCACAAACTGCCAAAACCTAGTGCGCCTCTTGTTTTCACCAGCGGCGAGGTCAGGGTAGCCATCGACAACGCGAAAGCCTCCAAAGCCATTGGACCCGACGGAATTTGCTTGCTGATTCTGAAAAATTTGGGTCCTGCGGGAGTAGCGTACCTAACGGAGGTCCTCAATCTGTCAATTGCCACTCTCGTCATTCCAGACATCTGGAAGATGGGGAGAGTGGCTCCACTGCTCAAACCGGGGAAACCAGCTAACAAAGGGAAGTCTTATCGCCCGATAACCCTCATTTCCCCGGTAGTGAAGACAGTAGAGGCCTTGCTACTCTCGTATTTTACCAACCACCTGACCCCAGCGAAACATCAGCATGGATTCCGTAAAGTGCACAGCACAACAACAGCACTTAACGCCATAAATACCCAGATAACTCGTGGCCTTAACCGAAACCGCCCCTGTGAGAGAACCATTCTAGTAGCGCTGGTCTAAAAGCATAAACAGACGGCAGCGTCGATCCGGATCGACTCGGGAATTAACTGCAGTTGATCCGGATGGAGTCTGAGTTAATCCGGATCAACGCTGCCGTCTGTTTAAGCTTTAAGACGTTCGACACTGTCAGCCATTCAACGCTACTAGAAGACATAGAGGCCTCCTCCCACAGGGACTCAAACGGTGGTCGGCGAATTATCTGAGTGGTCGTCACTCATCAGTACTTTTTAGAGACAAATCGAGCAAACTTTGGAAAATAAAACAGGGGTTCGACAGGGTGGTGTCCTTTCCCCATTACTTTTTACCTTTTACATTTCAAAGCTCTCTCAACCACCAGAGGGAGTCTTGATAGTCTCTTATGCTGACGATTGTGCGATAATGGCGTCTGGGAATGGAATTGATGACTTGTGCTCGAAAATAAACGGTTATCTCGCCGAGCTTTCTAGCCTTTTTCACTGCACGAAGCCTAACTCTCTCCCCTACAAAATCCTCAGCCACACTTTTTACCACCTGGACCTGGACTACAACTGGGAATCCACGTCGATGATACACCAATTCCGACGGTGAAAAACCCGAAGATACTCGGAGTAACCTTCGATAGTCTGCTCTCCTTCTCGGCGCCTACAACCGCAATTGTCAATAGAGTAGAAAGCCGCAACAAGGTCCTCAAGTCGCTAGCCGGCAGCACCTGGGGCAAAGACAAAGAAACGTTGCTGGCAACGTACAAGGAAATTCGCCGGCCGGTTCTGAACTATGCAGCGCCCGTGTGGCCAGCGGGGACACGGCGCTCAGGCCAACGACAGGATGCCTTCTGATGCCCTCGCAACACCACCTGCACGACGAGATCCACATGCTTCCTGTTAAGGAGCATAATACAATGCTCTGCAAGCAGTTTTTGGTTGGGAGCCCCAGGCGTGGTCACCCAAACAAACAACTGCTTGCAGAAGAGCCTCCGCCCAGCCACGTCAGGAGGCATCTCTACGAACTGACGGACGAAGTCCAGAGATTCATCAAACAACCTCTGGACCCGGCAGCTTATCCAGCTTATCAACAGGCTTTGAACGGCATTCACAGAGGCAGTCTGGAGTTATTTAGACTCCCGACCTGGGAATGCCGTTCTGGGCATACAACCACCAGACGTGCACGACTCAAAACTTCCGTCTGCCTCGGGAGACTCAGACCACAATAGCCCAACTGCGCTCTGGTTTTTGCAGCAGGTTGAACTCATACCTGAGCAGATTAAACGAGGATGTTCTTAACGAATGCCCGGACTCACAGCATCTTTTCGTTTGCCCTCTGAATCACACGCCCCTGTCCCTATTGACATACCCCGTCAAGGCGGCACGCTACCGCTAGTAGACCTTGACGATAACGATTGAAGGAACCGATCTGGGCGGGGTTGTTGTAGCCGCAACAACAACAACAACATTAACAACAACAACAAGGAATTGTATATATACATATGTAAGTATATTACCTCAGCATTCCGTTTAGATTCTTAAAAACAATATCCGTTTGTAATGGTTCGAAAATCTTCAAATCCTTGATTTGCTTATCGATTCTAAAACCAAGAAATTATAATAATAAAACGCAAAACGAACGTTAAATAAGCTATTAAGGAGTTACCTTTTAAGAAACTCGATACGGGATTCAAAATCCTTCCTATGGCATCTATTATAAAAGTCCCGGTTTTGTTCTTCGTCTAATTCAGCGCCTTGTTCGACGAAAGTTGACAAATTATCTTCTTTCTTCTCCAATGATCTACGCCGCCAATACGCATGAATATGTTTTAATTTTGGACGCTTACGGAGTTTCGCCAAACATTCAAAACCAATGGGGGCGAACGGAGTCATTGTTGGTAATGCAAATGACTCACTAGCTGATAGTACACTTTCGCATGTAAGAACCCCTTGACAATTTTTACATTGGCGGCAAAACTCTTTATAATTAACGTTCTCATGTACATCGATTTTACTTTCCTTTCGCAATGAAGCCAAACATGATTCCCCAGGATTATGCTGCGAAGAAATATTGTCGCTCAATTCCTTTTCGGGTTCCTTCAAATTCTGCTTCGCGCCTTCCTCAGCATCATCGCTTTCGGAAAGCAATGTTTCTACCAAACTCAATCGTGTCTTTTCAATGTCCTCCATTTCAGAAATACTCCAAGGAGAGATTTCTCGTTCTAGATTAATAAACTCATTATTAAAAACGGCTGTTTTTGTGGAATCTGCTAAACACTCAAGTGGAAAGTCATTTTGAATTTTATCACCGATTTTTGACGTTTGTACATAATGTACGGATACATCTGATATTGTAATAGCATTATCCTTAAAGATATATTTAAAATTGTCGTAGTCTTCTATTTCACAAGTGAGTTTATTTGATGTGTCGTGTACCTCAGATGGCAGCTTAATAGTGGAAGGCCTTGTTTCGAAACATATCAAAGCATGTCTAGACAACTGGGTAGTATGCGCAGAAGTTTCCACTAAACCAGTAGGAGTGCTGTTAATCTCATTGCTTTGTGTTATAATAGGAATTTGCGAATGGAAGGAATTCATGTGGAGATTATCTTCTACATTTTGTGTTTGCTTAACAGCATCCAGATTTGAGTGAATACCACCATCTGCAGGATCTATACACTCATTGGGCGTCCTAAAAATATTAATAGAAATGTCATGATGAAATAAAACTATTGCAGTTTTGAAAATCACGTGAAGATCTGGATTTTAATAAGCTTTATTTTGCTTTTATTACACTGTTATAGCCGCGAAACATGCATGGCCGGAGAAGACGGTTTCACCCTATTTTCGGATATGGAGAATCGAAATGCATCATTAGTTTTTTAAGTTTTCTGCACGCCTTCTTACAACTTTTATTTTGAAAATTTTGCCTCCAATTAAACTTTTTAAGGTGTTAAACCTATTTTGTGGATTCTAACTCTTATCTGGTTTTTTTTTCGACAAAATTTCTATTGCAAAGATGTTTATAATGTCTCAGGCCTTAACTTTCGTGAACATACCAAACTCCAGAAAAGAGGTATTTGACACTTTTAGGTGGAAAATCCGAAAGCAGTTGTATATTAATTACACAGGAACACAAAAACAAAAAATGTTGTGATCATGATGGTAGCCCCACTATTTCTAGGTTTTAGGGGTCGCTGAAAACGAATATGACGAATAAAACTACCTTCAACGGACCATTTTCCCGCCTGGGGATTGAAATTTCATTTTTCATGCAAAGTTAAGATGAGTGTGTATTCCTCTCTTTCTTGGACCGTTAAAACCGAAAATGACTAAAAAATACTAATTATACCCCTCCCTCAGCTCTTGTAACTTCCTTACTACACCCTGAATGGGTTCGAATTTTGAATTTTCATACAAAACTCAAATGTATGCGTATTTCCATGTTTTTGGGCCGCTGAAACGGAAAATGACTACATTATGTCTATATTCGGTATAAAGCGCCCCACAGTGGTCTGCAATCCAAATCTAGGTGGAGAAAACTATTTGCTCAAAGACGCTTTGACACAATTTGACACCACTGTGTTTCTATATGTTTCTGAGGTAACTTATTACGAATCCGAAGTCAGTCGAATGGGTAAGAAATTGTATCAATAATGAAGATTGGATAGGAGGATTGAAAGTGTTAATAAAGTTCGTGGTTGTCTTCTGTGGAATTTACACTAGTAAACATAGTACTTCTTGCGGCAGTTATCTTTAATTAACCACATATCCACTTAATTTTTTTTATTTAGTCATTATATTTGTTTACGAATAAACCATTTTCAACCTTACAACTTTATTTTTTATAGTCACTCTCGGTTTCAACGGTCGAAAAAAAATTAAGTTTCAATCCCTAGGGGTGGTTGTAAGAGGGTGGTAGTGATAAAATGGTCCGTTGAAGTTGTTTTTTGATCATATACGTCTTCAGCGACCCCAAAAACCTAGAAATATTGGGGTCTACCCTCTGGTTCATAATTTGTTTTTGTTTTTGTGTTCTCCTGTGTAATTAGTATAAAACTGTTTTCGGATTTTCCACTAAGTGTCCAAGACCTACTTTCTGGAGTTTGGTAAGTTTACGAAAGTTAAGGTCTGAGACCTTCAAACAACTTTGTCAAAGAAATTTTGCCGAAAAAGCAAACCAGATAAAAGTTAGAAACCATAAAATAGGATATAAAACCTGAAAAATTTCCGTTGGAGGCAAAAATTTCAAAATAAAAAGTTGTATGAAGGCGTGCAGAAAACTTAAAAAACTAATGATGTAGTTCGATTCCCATACCCGAAGTAGGGTGAAACCGTCTTCTCCGGCCATGTCTTTGAAAATGTTTGAAAAAAAAACTATCGGTGTTATTATTATTATTATTTATTTTCAAATACTCCCCTTGCCAAACTAAATATGTACTTATTAACAAAACTAAAATAACGAACATTACGCAGATACTATATTTTTAAATAGGGGTCATTCCATGTAAAAGAACAAAACGGCATACATTTTAATATTTGGTGTCACAATTTCTATTCGCCTCAAATTTTTTCTATGGGTTCTATACACGAAATGAGCTATCACGTATTCGAGGATTTTTTTCAGTTTTTTCTTCGGAGATATGATCTGTCAATGTTTGGACTTTTTCGTGGTTCTGACTAATCATGTACTACTTCTTCAAATCGTTATATCTCAGGTTCTGCTCATCGTAGAGACTTCCTCTTACAGGTCTATTCTGCACGTTACCGAAGATTTTGTAACCGAAAAATTTTATTACCAAAAAATGGTACCAGTTCTTGTCACCGCGATTCTAGGTACGCTGGTAATGCAGTTAATATATTCAGCAATTCAGCTATTAAGAATTGTGGAAATTCTGGCACTGCATATTTCACGGGGCAATACCCGCAAGAAAGATACTGGTCAAATGATTAGTAAAATGACCTGGAGCCATGACTGAAAGTTTCCGTATTTTTCCCATCACATTCTTAAAGGCATCGGTAGATTTTGTGACCGTTTCTTTCCTTATGTTTCCGTACGTGTGACTTTACATCTCGCTCTTCTTCAAGTCTTGTGCGCTTAGCAAAATGTATAGCTGCACTGCTTACACCCGTCACAGCTACTCTGGTTTTTACTAGTCAAATTACCAAATTTTTTTTCTGGTTTTATGACCGTAATTTTACGGGCATAATGACCATCATTTTACGGGCATGATGACATTAATTTAACAGCATAATTACCGCCATTTTACGGGTATAATGACCTTCATTTTACGGGGATAATTGCCGTCATTTTACGGTTATAATGACCGCGTTTTACCACCATTTCGACTGCTATGCGACTAATGATACTCCTAACAAAACACATTTAGGATTTTTAATTGTACTTTTCTACTTTATTGCATTTATTTGTACTTAGTTAATTGAAATTTATATATTTAGGGTATTAATTGAATAATTTAAATAGAAAAATTTTACGACTTTATGACATGACGACGCTTACGACGGTGACAGGTAATAAGATCAACGGAAATAAGGTCAATTGACTTTACTCACTGTGATTTAAAATAATTTTTTTCTTTTCTTCCATAAAAAAAAAAATTGTCCAACTTACATACTTTGTATGGAAGAAAATCCGTGAAAAATTGCTAAAAATCGACTTAAAACTTAAAACAATTTTCCTAGAAATTCTTATTAAAAAGTTTGCAATTTAGATGAAACTGTGCACAATATTCATAGTTTTTGCACAAAGTTTGAAAATTGGGTTATATGGTTAAAAAATATAAGCATTAAATAAAGAAAAGAAAAATAGCCAATATTTGATAAAATGTGGTGTCCCTATTATTCCACCACCCTACATGTGGATATTTAAATTTGATCTCAATAACAAACCCTTTAATTTGTATATTATGAATTTGTCATATTTTTGTAATATTTATATACTTTAGCATTAAGAAATTGAACCACTTGAACCGAACCGAACCGCGGTTCAGGGATGCTCGTGAACCGGTTCTTATACCGGTACAAGCTTTTTCTAAGTGGTTCGACCACTGAACCGAACCGCACCGATTTTTGGAGTGGTTTGCAGCTCTTATAGCAACAAAATAATGTACAGGGTGGCGTCGAATGAGCTATATGGTTTATAGCTTTTTTATTTATGCGATTATTATATATTTTTTTTTAAATACAGTATATTATTGGGGAATTTTTTGCAATTAGCTTTGATAAATGATATCCTGTTAGCATACTTTCCATAACTTTTCGCAGAATTTCGGGTGTAATGGCCATGATTTCATTTCGAATGTTGGTTTCTTGGTTTGTTAACGTACACTCTTTCTTTCAAATATCCCCAAAGAAAACTGTCAGGAGCTGTTAAATCTGGTGAACGTCGAGGCCAGTTAAAATCGCTTGTGCGCAAAATAATGCGTTCGCCGAATATGTCCCTTAACAAAGCCATTGAGGCACGTGCAGTATGTGCTGTGGCTCCATCTTGTTGAAACCACAAGTTTGGATGGTTTTCCACAGCTGGCCTAATAAAATTTTCCAACATCATCCGATATGCAGCACCGATGACAGAGATTGAGACACCACTTTCATTTTCAAAAAAATATGGGCAAGTTATCCTTTCGGAGGATACACCGCACCAAACAGTACACTTAAGTGGGTGTAATTCTCGCTGATGCACTACTCTTGGATTTTCCGTAGGCCAAATCCTGCAGTTTTGCTTGTTGACATACCCATTTAATAGGAAATGGGCTCCATCGCTCATTACCCAATTGTGAATAAAGTCTGGATTTTCACATTACATTATCACATTATTTGTGCACGTTGTTTGATCGTGTAATGATTCATAATTAATTCCCCAAGTCTTCTTCACAAATTTAATAATTAAAAAAGTTATAAAGAACTCAAACCATATAGCTCATTCGGCGCCACCCAGTAGTATGTATTTATACATATTAATATGCGCACATCAACAGCAACAAAAAATTTACCGTTATGACACCATCCAATGTTATCCATACCCCTGGCTGATGTTTGAACCGTAACCAGAGATCGTTTTTTTTCAAACGTGGTGAACAATAATAACAATCTTTTGTAAATTTCGATATCAATGAAACGTAATAAACAATATGGGTCTTCACACCGAGTTCGGTGTTGGGTAACTCGGTTTCCGGTAATTTTTTCTAATGTATTTTGTTTGTGTAAAATAGTGTAACAAAAAAAAAAAAATACCGGAAACCGAGTTACCGAGTATCAAGCTTCGGTATGAAGACCCAAAATATCTACGATGCATGTAATCTGCCTATGTATCGGTGTGTAGCAGGACAACGTCTGCCCGGGCTTACTAGTACTATATAATGCTTAATATCGATCGCACTGTTATACATATCGCACACCGTCTTCAAAAGAGTCACAACTCAAAATAATACGTTTGTCAGAAAATGCGAAAAACTATTTCTTAGCACATGATAATCATATGGGCAATAGCGACTTCACCTTAAGTTTTTTTAACAAATTATAACAAAAATTTGCTCCAGCTTCTGCTGAAAGGTAAAGCTATCAATTTATGTAGTTATATAGATAATTAGATGACATTAGGTAAAAATTTCGCTTGCAGTAATTTCTACATGGTAAGTGCTCCGCCAATATTTGGTTTCATAGGGATTCGGATACCTTCCTCATTGAAGTAGTAA